GACCTAAGCTCCCATAAAGTTTAGATCCGGCACTAACCCTTCGAATATAACACACATATATATATATATATATATAAATATATATCGCTGATAGAATCTCCCAGAGCAACTGTTCCAAATAAAATACAAAACCACGATCTATAGGGTCAGTTTCGCACAAGGAAAATATAATAATAGGCTAAACGTTCCGGGAATTTAGTTTCTTTGTCAATTGATTTTTGAAACAATTGTTTTTTCATATGATGAACATATTGAGATTTATATATACAAAGTGTAATTTGAATATGATAAGCAAAAAAAAAGAGAACTGCATATGGAAAAAAAATTACAGGATCCAATAATCAAAAGAGAGGAAGAAAGGTGTGAAAAATCGATTTCTCGTTTCTTTTTTTCTGATGCCATTGTTCCATTTGGTCGATGCGATGCCTCGATGGACAGATAGATTAGCTAATGGCTAATGGATCCAGAAAAGATCTCTTTGGAACTCGTCTCGAAAAACTCAGCATCTTCCTTAGAGAAAAAAAGATATGCTTTTGGTTATATGAATTGATATAGAGAGGTTGGTTTTCGATTCATCTTCATACAAAACAAAAAAAAAAAAAAGTAAAAGAAAAAATCAATAGAGAAGAGCGAAAAAGATATGATCCATCGGACAAGAGAATCGAGGAGTGTCTCATCATTTCGATGTATCCATATACGAGAATAATAATAATAATTTATATATCTACTTTTTCAATAGACTAAAATGATCCAACACTGAATGATTAATTCTTTCTTAGTGATCGATACCAGGAGACTGTGAATTTCGATATTGGAAATTTGTCCTTGACCTTTCTTTCCATATGAAAATAAAAACATTTTTTTTTCTATTTAGAAAAAAAATTTTGATTTTTCATCAAAATATTGGTTTAAAAACATAATATGATAAGAATCCCTTCCCTATATTTTAAAACAATAATTTAAAAAAGATTCATGTCTCATTCTTGAGTCATTTCCATAATTTTTATCTTTTTATTCGCTATTTATTACAAGCATTAATCAAAAATAATATCTTGCTGTTCTTTAAAACTATACCTATATAACAGAGGGTAGTTGGATCAACCCTCCTTAAAAAGTTATTTATCCACGTTCCCATTTTCAGAAAAAAAAAAACATTTTGCTTTTCATAATTTACAATATTTTTTTCAAATAATATCAAAAAATAAAATAGAAAAAATATGAAAAAAACATTAGCAGTTTAATTTACAAAATTAGCCCTAATTTACAAATCAAGAATTACATTTCCAAAAGTGGGTCAAAGTCAAGATGAAAATTATTCAAATTTAATAGAAAAAATATTTATGAAATTATATATATTAGAGGGGAATCTTTCGTTCAACACTATATACGGAATAGATTTTGACAAAGTCAGCAAGAAGAAATTTCCCCCTCTCCTTAATCAGATTTCAAGTACTACTGGGATTATGGAAGGAAAGATTTAATGCAATCTCTTCGAAACGAATTGTCGTATAAATGGCGGAAAGTATATAGAGAATGAGGAGAGGAGAAAGGAGAATCTCGTTGGTGTAACGTCGATAAATTTGTGAGGCGCGATTATCGAGCCATTAGACTCCCCAAGCGTGAATCATCCCCCGAAATGCTCGGCTGAGCAAACATTGTCTTGATGCGCACCCTAATACATCTATATAGATACGGTGTGTCTTCCTACATATGTGGCATTTACTAAGGGATGTTTTCCAAGTTGTCACACCTGCCTAAAGTCAAAACTAATAAACTCATTGACTACATAACATATATACATTAATTATACACAGGCAGACAAAATTTTGGCTTACTTTAAAACCAAGAACCGGACTATAATTTTTCAAAGTGTCGCTTTTCAGATTCTGATTCGGCACGTCAAAAATGCTTTGGAAAAGTATAGTCTGGTTTTTAGTTCCAAAATAGGCAAAAAAATTTTTGTCGGCCTGTGTTAATTATCACTGTTGGTCGTTTAAAAATTATACGTTCAGAAGGCTTTTAGAACTTCTACACAGAAAATTAAAAGGCATTAAAATAAGCTGCAACTATTATTTTGATCCAATTTTGCTTATTTTAATCCATTTTGGTATTAAAATAAGCAAAATTCGATTCAAATATCACTGTAAAAAGAAAGTACTAAAACAGTACCGATTTTAGGTATCAAAATAGAACCAAATGACAATTTAGTACCTGAAGTCGGTATTAAATTAATACTTTTCTTTTTACAGTGTAATAAGCGTTGCAGCTTATTTTAATACTTTATAATTTTCTGTGTATTAAAAAAATTTTATTTTGCTAAAACGGTACCCACACTCTCTAGAGATCTAGATGAAAAGATCGAACTGGAAATGAAATTAGTTGAAAAGAAAAAAGTGACTTTTCGCGCGGTGCTGAATCTTGTATGCATAGGATTTTGACTCGGAAAGTTAAGTACATCAGAAAAGTTCTCGAGCATAGATCAATATTTGCAGAAGACTTCTATTTCGCTGGTTTTCAATAGAGAGAGACACGGTCAGATGTTCATACGTGTGTCTTCAATGTTCTCTACCTACTACCTTACATTTTGCTCAAATATGGTCCATTGTATTCGGCTTTTCATCAGCGAGAGAGAGAGAAAGAGAGAAGTGCACAAGATGTGTAACAAACGGATTGTAAGGGGTCATCGTTCAAGTACCCCATATATGTTTGAGAACAGTTTAAAGATCTTCCAAGGGTATATATATATATATATATAATATGAACCTAAAGCGTGACTCGACTTTATATTAAAACGAGTATCCTCTCTGGTCCTAAGCCTAAGCTGCTCCTCTATATATCCTAACCCTCCGAACCACACCTTTATCATTCTCATTGTCACACAGAGTAGTCTTCAAAGCAATAAAAAAGAGACTATGCTTTTACTATCCCCCATCAGCTACTTCTTGTTCTAAATCTCAGTGCTGCTGCTGCTACTCTATAACAGGAAGTGCTAGACTAGCTTTGCAGCGAGGATTAACCAAGTTCCGCTTTACTCCTCACGTTTACGAGGTAAATTCGAAGGAAGTTTTCAACATCAGCGCTCGTAACTTTTCAAGTACTAGAAATTGACGGGAAAGCCCGGTGATGTTCTCAATCATGAACAGCAGCAGGCCAACTTTTATCGCCAGCAATCCTAGTTGGAATTTTTGACCAGACTCTTTCCGACGATTGAAAAAGTTTAAAAAAAAAAACGCAATGTAAATTTATATAACGTTAAAAAAACTTCTCGAACAAAATTCAAAAGAATTATTACTAAATTATTGATCCTAGATCACAAAATGATATTTCGTTTGTCATAATTTTTTTCCTCCCCCCCCCCCTAAAAAATGTAAATTTTGAACAAAAGAGCTAGCAATAGCTTTCAGCTGGAAAATTTAAATTTTAAATCAAAAATTGAAATTAACGACTGTGCACGATATTGGAAATAAATGATTGTTTTAAGCTACTGACCTTACATTCACCAATTTGTTACATATAAAGCGCCGGAACTTTAATATATGCTAAAAGAATACAAAGTGCCTATAATGACTAATCCCTATCAAAAATTCACTACTACATTCAAAATTACCAATAATCACCAATTTAAATAAGCTAATAAAAATATCAACAATTAAACGACCAATATTTTAGAAATTATTTTTCGGAAATTATACACCTCTAACAGCCGTTAAGTCAATATTTTCCTACTCTGAAAAGTCAGGGTGGCGTCTTGTTTGATATATACATATACAATTTAATGGTTAACCTTGAAACGTTTTAAAAGGGAAAAAAAAATTTTTTTTTCTGCCGAGTCACTTTTGTCCCGAGAGGGAAAACAAAAGCTTTTTCCAGTTTTCAAAAAAAAAAAAAAAAATTCAAATATCACATTCTTTTTTCAAAAAGATAAACGAGACGTCACTATATCGGTGTGTAATATAAATGTGACACAATGCGGCCTAAAAACTTCCGGTTTAGTGGAAAAAAAAAACCCTCATAAATTTTCCAGATTCTTGAAAAGAAGAGACGAAACATTTTTCGGCACCCGTTAATGTAGTTTTGAGGGTCGTGTGTATATATATAGCACTTAAAATCATCAATTTTAAAATTCTCAAGGGAAATTTTTATTTTACCACGAACTATTCCTAAACATCGATATCAAAAGTTTCAAACACATTTATCATTTGGGTCACAAAGTTACTTTACATACTTTTTTTAATGTAAAAATTTTTTTTTTAATATTTTAATATTATAAAAAATTATAATTATATAATAATTTAATATTATATATATATATTTTTATATTAGAATAACATCTATATATCTCATGATGTGTCATAATTATATATGCGAAAAGTAAGTTAAACAAGAGTCATCTGTTAGATTAAGGATAACAGATGTTCTATCATATTTACTCAAATGTTAATAACAGTTGTCTACTTTCTACACAAAAAGAAATATACTCTAACTCCTCTAGGCTAAAAAAATAATCACTTAATATAATATTTTTTTAAAATAAAGTACATATACTTTGAAAAATTAAATCAAAATTTAAAAATTGTCAATTAATTTTATATTAACTTTTCAAAGTTACATAAAAATATAATTTTCTCGTCACCCTATTAACAAAAAATTAAATTCAAAAACAACAAAATATTTCACACCTCGACAAATAATAATTTCCCTAAAAAAAGAAAGAAATTGAAAAGAATTTAAAGTGAAATCTCGTAGAAATTCGTCGAATTAACTCCGAATTAGATAGAACAACTTCCAACTCGTCTGGCGTGTGAGAGGCACAATGCCGAACAATGCCGAAGAAGTAATCGCGAGACATACACACACATACAAAGTAGAGAATTCATATAAACCTCGTATAACTTCGACTTGTGTCGGGAAAAGTCGACACCCTTCGGGTTTTGCCACGGAACCCGACGCGAGACGAACGGCCACGACAGTTCGCCTTCTCTCCGTTCAGGACAGACGCGTCCGCGATTCCAAACGAGGTGGTACTCTCGTTCATTTCTCGTCGGTTTAAATCACACGAGTACCGCAAGTTTTCAAAACTCTCGGTTAGTAAAACCGCAAATTTTTTTTTTTAATTTCAATTTTTTTGTTGCAAAACAATATTCACAGAGTGATAAAAAAAAAAAATAAATCGCGAGTGAATGTTAGTTACTAATTGAAAAAAAAAAAAAAATGAAACCCAAAGGACGACGCTGATCGTATTTTTTTTTTAAATTTAATTTGTCATGCCGAGGAGACACAGATCTCCTCTAAATAAGTGTTGATCAATTGTTATACAGTGATTCCAAGGAATTGATATAGGTATAATTTTTGCAAAAGTGGATATTTTTTTTTTTTCAAAAAAAAAAAAGTAAAGGAGTAATAACGATCAGTGGAAAGTGTTCCCAAAGGGGAGTTGAGTGAACAAAAAGCTTTCGTCGCACCTTAAGCGTCGGAGCTCTCGCGCGACGCGAGATTCATGCGGTCAGCATCCAGATCCTGAAGGATCAACCAGAGGGAAGTAAAAAACGAACTTTTTTTTTTGGGAAATGAAAAGAAGAGCACAAACTGGCAGAGGCACAATCGACAAATGGTCCAAATGGCAAAGGAATTAAATTACCAAAAAACCAATGTTTTTGATTGGATAATTTGGATATAGGATAGAAATTAATTGGAGTATCAAGAAAATTTGATTTTGGATACAGTGTTCTGAAATTTTTGGCTGCCGAACATGCAAGGGATTTAATAAGTGTGATGTTGATAATTTCGGGGGAAATTTAAACCGAAATTGATTTAGTGATTTTTTTTTTTTTTGTGGATGTAGATGTGTCGTGAAAAGTGGTGGACGACAACGTCGAAAGTGGTGTGTGGATTAATTATTATTGAAGGCCGTGATACAGGCGTTGGTGTTTGCACTCGTCCTGTTTATTACGATGATTTCCACGTCTTTTGTGACCCTTGTGTTCCTAGTGTGCCTTCAAACGGTTCTACTCTCCACCGTGAGCAACTGTGCGAAAACAATCAGCATGCACTGGAACACAACAAATTCCATGTAAGTGCTGAATATAACTTGCTTTTGTTGAGTGTGTTTTGTGCTACCGTCGCTTGACGGGCGTATACCCCGAAGAGAATATAAGGTTGTATTTATCGAGTGAATTTCTCCGTAAAGAGATCCCTTGACTTTTCATGGAAATCCCGTCATGGTTATTCTTCTCAGTGTTATATAGTTTTCCTCTGAGTTTAAAACAAGTTTTAATGCCAAGTAGTGGCCTTTTTTTGCAATGATCTCAGCGAGTTTTAATATTGGAAGTTGTGGTAAAATTTCCTGTTCTCGTCAATGAGAGCTTCTTTTTCTTAAGATCGTTTGCGCTCTACTCTTCTGTCAGCGATTGCCAATGACGGGATGTTGATGAATGAATTGTGGAAAATTAACACCGTGAGGTTGTAAATAACCGGAAATTCGGATAGAGAGAAAAAAAAAACCAACAAGTAAAATTAGTTATCACCATTGAGTGGTAATTGAAAAACGTCTTTCAACTCCTCTTTTTCTGTTTTACTAAATAATTTAGAAATTTCAAAAATACGATAACTTCTTTCAATGCTTTCATTAAGATGTTTCTATTTACTTCTTAAATGATTGTATAAAGTACTATATACTCAGTATCCATCAGGGAATACAAATTTGCATGACAATACATTCACATGTCCAGTTGTATGCTAATTAAATAATTAAGATCTTCTAGTTCATCTGTGATCGATTCAATTATCTTTAAAAATCAATGACAGGTTCATTATTTCAATTGCTTTTCCTTTTTGTGCAAATTTACAAATCGTAGAAATCAACTCAATTTTGAAATATATAGTCAAATGAAAACTAATTCACTAATTTTAGTGAATTGAAGATGAAATCGTACTATTGAAAAAGTAGAAAAAAAAAAGTATCACGTTTCATACAGTAATCTTAAAATGATGTTCAACTTGTCAGAAAGTATAATTTGTCCACGTAATGTACAAAAAAAAAATCCTCTTAAAAAATGTTCTAAAGAATAATTTCACTGGCTAATGTAGGCAATTCTTTATGAGGACGCCTCTTTGTAAATGTAAATTATTTTTAAGATTGTAATTGAGCATAAAGGAAAAGTCAAGAAATGTTGCGTGTCAGCAATTTTGTACGTTTTTTAGTGAACAATAACATATATATATATATATATAGACGATAAGCATGCGAGAGTTAAAGAGACGGTGCCGAACGACTTAAAAGTGAATCGATTTCTCATGCTAAACATGCGTCACTAAGTTACCTATTCTCATGATCATACAAAATATTACACGAAAAAATTTTTTAACTGAGGTCAAATTATGAAAAAATCAATTTGACACTATTTCGATTGTCGATACAGAAGAAATAGAAGAGTGTTTCGTACATTTTCTGCATATAAAGAAAACCCTCCCTTACTCCCCCATCGATATGCAATTCAAGAGATTCAACTTTAATCAAATCGGTGTACCGCTTACATTTAATTTTTTTCTCATTCCCAAGGGAAAAAGTCGCTCGTTCTCGCTTTCCAATTATTCGTTCGAGACGCAGAACCAAAGCGAATGTTACCTTGCCTTGGCTTTCGAACGATCGTACGGTAAACGGCTCTGTTCGTGACTCGAACGAAATCGGCTCGTGACAAAGGCGAGTCTTCCCTTCGAGAACACTGTCTCTCCTCGACTTTTACGATCTCCCCGACATCGCACACGTTTACATGTACTAAACTCATTCCATTGGATCAGTCTTTTAACTAATTTTCGACCTTCTATTTTCAATATACTAAAAAAATCCTCTTTTTTATATGAATTTGATATTACTAAAATTATTCTATTTCTATACCTAAAAGCACCTCACACACATTACGATATTCAATATTCCCAATGACATCAATTATTTTTCTATATGTCATACTCTATTTTTGCATGTCATATCTGTATGTCATGCATTATTTTTGTATGTCATACATTTGTGTGACTTTTTTTTTATAACCATTAATGGATATTAAACGAAAAACAAAGAATAGAGAAAAAAAGTAAATTTTTCAAATAAAGAGAGGACACATTAATGCATCATTAACTTTGAAGAAGCACTATAAAGCCATATGAAAAATGTTTACCATCCAAAATAAAAGCCACGTGTGTGTTTCTTATTTCACCGCACAAAATACATTTTCAAAATCCCAGACGCGAGCACTAATACACACCACATACTTGAAAGTTCGAACACTTAAATAAACACAACATAATCTCACATAACATCAATTTATCCAGAAATACTATTCGATTCCACTGAAACTAGAAATCTAATAATATACTTTTTTTAAAGTAAAAAAAAAAAAATATTACAGAAGTAAATTTACCCACAGACATTGTATGAATCGCGCATAATTGCAGAAAATTACGACTCTACTATTGTTCCATTAACCCTATTTCACAGAGACCGTTAACGACAATTGACATTAAGATAAACTTGTATACAGTATTCGTCTTTCTCTCTTTTTTTCTCTATTCTGACTGCAAAGAACTTTACTCTTAGCGAAGAAATGAATTTTTCCCTAATCGAAAATAGTTCCGTTTGGATGAATCGTGTGCGCAACGCTCGCACATAAGCCCTCGTGGAAAATGACGAGTCGTAAAAACGTCAAACGTCTTAAGATAACGGCTGTTTGCGATTGGTGTGCACGATTCGAGGCGGTTCTTCGTCGAAGCTTCGGAGACTTCGATGCTAGGACAAGCATAGATAGATCGAACTCTCCCATCGTGCGATTACGTTCTGTGGTCCATGCAATAGTTTTTTTTTTCTAATACATTATAAAAAAAAAAAAATCTCAATAACGTTTTATAATGTAGTAAATTATTCTAATACTCAATTTATATATAAACGACGCATGACATTTGTCGTCGGATCGTATTTTCGTCAGCTCATTCGCCCGCTCGACGTGTAATGTATGTACATTTCTTGTGTATACATACCGCAACCTCCGCGAAACTCTTTTATATATATACATACACAGAAACCGAAACAAAGTGAAACCAGGCGTAAAGCAGCGGTTCGGCCGAATGGATTTTGCGCTAATTGGACGACCGTAAACGTGTTCTGCATTCCAAGTTTATTGCTTTTCGGAACTTTTACGAGTGGAAGCTTCAAGGTGAAAAATGCTTATTACATATATTTATGTTTGCGGTACATGCCAAGGAACAATCTCACTTTTCTTTAGAGGAGAGGAAAAATGACTTTTCTTTGTATACATGGGGGAGGACCAATTTATATTTAACCTTGTATTCAAAATAGATGAGCGCGGCTTCTCTAAATCAAAGGATAAAAAAATAGTTGCATAAGATAGTTCTGGAAAAGATGAGAAAATTTTTAATCCCGTAATACTAGCTAAAATGTTTCACCTTGACATTAAGAAAAGATATGCGGAAGCTGTCGACACCTCGGCTTACTGGTGCTTGAGGAAATTATTGCTACGAGCACTTGTAGCCAGCGCCATTCTAATTATTACGTATAGTCTGTATCGCGCTCTCATCGTGAAATGAACCCACACACATACATACATACATACACACATAGTTTACGTTGCCAAGTGGTTGGCGATGCACCAAGTAGCGAATTCTTGATACGGCCATGGGTTCCTATAACCATTCGTCATTTCACTGAAATTGCCTGTCCCGAAAGAACATTTTTTCTCTAGCTTTTTTTGATCTCTTATTAGCATTAACAAGAACAAAAAATTATACGTTAGAAAAATATTGTAGATTTCAGTTGATAAATTCTGAGTAAAGATTTGTGACTGATCACGAGAGAAGAGCCTACTTGAATGATTCTGTAGAAATTTAATAATAATAATAATCAATATGGAAAGGAGCATTTATTACAAGGCATTTTCTTGTTGTCGATATCCTAGGAGCCAGAATGAAAAGGCAAAAAATGTTTGATTACATTTTACGTCGATTACTAACGAAGGAAAGAATGTTAAACTAATGAATTCAACTGGCGCTTATGTTTGTGATCTCTCTCTCTTTCTCTCTTTCTCTCCATGACGTCTGACAAAATCGGTAATGTTCGCCACACACAAGGCAACTGGTTTCAATATCCAATAAAGTGTTTACGTAACAGTAAATATATATTAATATTCTGTCCTTTCATCATTTCTTCTTGTCTTTACAAATGAAAATTCATGAGGATAAGCTTAACAATAACGATTACCAGGAAACATAAAAAACAAAACATCTCCAATTACCTCAAGACATAAGAATAATTAGGAAATATTTAATTAACGTTAAAATTGCTTTTTCTACAAAAAGAAATAAAAGAATTAAAAAAATATTTTTATTCTTTAAAATCAGTTTTCCCACCAGGTAAATTCAGAGTAAATTTTGCAAAAGAGCCATATACAAAGTTAAATAGCTATATAAAAGCAAGAAAAAGAAGAAAAGGAAGTACCTGCCGGACACTCGTTAGGCGTTAAAAGTCTTCAAAAGGGAACGAAGGGCGAAGTTAGAGTCGCGTCTCATTTTCTCTCTCACTGAAGTGAAACCGGAAATGCTAACGCCACTGACACGCCCATTAAAGACACGCGCAGGTTTCTGTTTTTAAAGGCAAAAAATCATTTTGCAATTTGAGTATAGAAGACCAATGATTATATTTTATTCATATTAAATATGTTTGTGGGTTCAGAAAACGAAAAATAATCATCATGAAAAACACACTGTTATGCTTAATTAAACGCCACCCATGAACTTCTCGGAAATTGGACAATTTCTGGACACACCATATATATATACATATAAACACATATATTCACAAAAATAATCATTTCTAGCAGCTGTTTCCTGTTACAAAACCCCAGAATTGAAAAAAAAACATTGACGGGGGTCTCTCCCTTTTTTTCTAATATTTCTTTCACCTTTTTTTTCATATGCGATTTTTAGGATGGTAAATACGAAAATGCAATCGAAGAGACTGAAATTGGGTAGAAAAAAAAGAGGGTTGAAAAATTAAGCAGTATATAG